ATTTATGGGATTTATCTTATTTCACACTTATGATTTGCTTCCCACATACCCAAAACACAATATTCTTCTGGTATAACCAGGTATGTATGATTTATTTATTTTTAATATGATTATCTTTCTTTTTCTTAAATATTTATTATTATTTTAAAATTTTGAATTTTGATTTGTTAAATAAAATATGTTGAGCGCCAAATTTATAGTTCAATCTTTACAATTAAGCTTACTGTTTAATGCTTACTCTCACAGCTGCTCAGAGTGCATTAAACTATACTCCCAGTAGTGGTTTCAAATTATTTTTAATAGAAGATACAAACCTGTATGGTTTTTCTTTTCTATTTATATCTCTTACCTTATTATTTTATTTTATTACAAATAGCTTTTCTTTTTGTTTTAAAATATTGAATTATCAAATTTATACCTTAAATAAGCTTGATATCAGAAATAACCATCATCTTCAAACTCATAAAAAATTTATTAATTTTCATATTGAAATTTTTATAGTGATAACAATAATCAATAAGTTTTGAGCAAAGATTCATGTTAGTAAATATCCCTACTATTTTAGAAACAAAAAAATATAATAATAACTGAACTTTTGTTCATCAGCTGTTACGATTATTTTTCCTTAAAAGAAAATATACACAGTACCTAACGATCGAACAGCTTTCAGCTACCTTTTATATTTTATGCAAATTATAACTAAATAATTTATGAAATGCTTACTATGTTACTAACAACTTCAATCCTTTATTTAAATTGTTCAAAGTTTTATTTTCTTTAAAAATGTCAAACACGTTTTTTTATTAACCAACGTAATGTTTGTTGAGGATTTACCTTGGTATATTAGTTTCCTGAAAATTGAGTTTTTCTGTCTTCAAATCACACCTGGTAACCTAATACTTTCTACCAACTAGTTTCATTTCTGTTTTATTTCTAGTCAAATATTCTTTCTTCCTGTCATAATGAAATTTGTAATCTGATATTTCAAAATGATATTCTTATTTCCAAACTCTTCTTATCTTCGCCTTTGGTTGTTATTTAAATTTCTTGTACAATTTTGTTCTTTAAGATATTATTCTTTTCATTTAATCTCCTTAATCCATTACTTTCCTTTTCCATATCTTTTTGTTACTCTCCATAATTTATTTCGCAACTAACAACCCCTATCAACCCACTTCATTTGTTTATTTAATTTTTATCTCTATTTTTATCTCGATTGTCATCTTTGACACCTAATAAATTTTATCCAAAGTCAATTTTTCTTTCTTTTATCCCTACTTTATTTCTCAGACATATATCCGTTTCTCTTCTTATTTTTTTCTCTACCTTTCGGTACCTCATACATGTGTTTTTGTTTCGTTTTAGTGATACGTCTTAAGAAACACTCATGCTCTGGTTTTAAGTGTTTTTCTTCACTTTTCAGCACTGATTTAATTTTGGTTATTTAACTAAACCTAATCCTATGATCTCTATACAATATTTGTCTACTAAACTTATTTAATTCATTAAAGATAAATATCTTTTACACGCTTTATATTATCTATGTAACGGAATCTTTCAACAAAATTTTCACCAACTTTAAGACGTCTGATTAAATTGAAAATTTGCACCCGTATTAAGGACCGATGACAATACAATAATTTGATTGCGTATCGACGCATTTCTCTTAACAAAATTTTTCTAAGCGATTGTTAAAGTTGTGTGATCGGCGCATTCGCCAAAATAACTGAATCTTTCAACGTAATTCTCACCAACTTCAAGACGTCTGATTAAATTGAAAATTTGCACACGTATTAAGGACCGATGACAATACAATAATTTGAATGCGAATCGACGCATTTCTCTTAAAAAAATTTTTGCTAAGCGGATGTCAAAGTTGTGTGATCGGTGCATTTGCCAAAATTTAGCATCCATGATAAGTTGGCAGAAAGTTAACCACTAATTGAATACCGTAACTCATACTATACTTGAAATGCAAGATGAGCTAGTTACCAATTTACGATAAGAATGCTTTTTTTTTTTAAAGCATTTAATTCTTTCGTTTACAATAGCAATACAATAATTTGAAAAAAGAAAATAAAAAAAAATTCCGAAATAAATTCAAATCAATAAATTTTGAAAAAAATTTTAATTAAAAAATTTCGACAAAAAATTCTTGAAGACTATTACATTTGTTTTCGTTTCATGACTAAAAAATAAAAATATAAATTATAGTTTATAAAACTAAAAAATATAGTTTAAAAAAACTAAAAAACACGCTTTTAAAGCACATCAAACTAAAAAAGTGAAAAATAATTATTAATATAAACTGAAAATAATAATGAACGAAAAATACTAGTATTATTGTGAAAAAAAGCGTGGGGTGCTTTGTGCAATATTTTTCGTATATCGAGCACCCCACGCTTTTTTCACAATAATACTAGTATTTTTCGTTCATTATTATTTTCAGTTTATATTAATAATTATATTTCACTTTTTAGTTTGATGTGCTTTAAAAGCGTGTTTTTTAGTTTTTTTAAACTATATTTATTTTTAACTTTTTTAGTTTGATGTGCTATGAAAGCGTGTTTTTTAGTTGTTTTAAACTATATTTATATTGCTTATTGATGCTGATATTATAACATATTACGATCCAACAGATATTTCTGAAAAAAAAAAAAATTTATTTCAGCCGTGAGGTTCGAACTCACGCCGGAGGAGTCTGTCGTTTCGCGTCGACTGCCTTAACCCACTCGACCACCGGGCTAATTAACAATTATGGAATCTACTGACATATTAAGCCTTTGCTTTCACGCAGGGATACGTGAGGAAAGGATTGGCGATCCTGAACAGGATAATGATATAAACTTATCAAATTATTGTATTGTTACCGGTTCTTAATAAGTGTACAAAGTTTCAATTAAATCTGTCCGTTTAAAGTGGGTTAAAATCGAGTCCAAAGAGTCGGTTACAAACAAACAAGCAAACAAACAAACAAACAAGCAAACATACAAGTGAAGCTAATAAAAGCGTGTTAAAAAAAGCACGCTTTAATAGCAAACCGAACTAAAAAATAAGAAATAAGAATGAAGTGATTGACAAAAAAAATCATTTTATTGTAAAAAGCGTGGGGTGCTTTTTACTATATTTTTATGATAACTCACAATAAAATTGACAATAAAATGAATTTTTTTGTCAATCACTTCATTCTTATTATTATTGACCACTTGTCAAATTATTGATTATTCTTATTCTAACATTATATTTTTTTATATATTTCTAGGTAAAACTTCTTAATTCTAATATATGGAATCATTTATGACATTCCTGGCATCCTCCATATATACCATTTATCATAACTAGACATTACTTTATCAGTACGTTTATTTCTTTAATACAAACTTGTGACTCTGATGCCAATTGAACATTTATTTATTTATTTGACAATCAATGCATCTTTTTCTGAGATCAAGTTTAAACATTCTTTTCTATTAAAGTTTATAATCATGTGTGTGTGTATATGTATGTATGTATGTGTATATATGTGTATATATATATTTTTGTTTGTATCAATTTTTTTATATATTAATATTGTTATATCTTTTTTATTATATATTACGTATCTTTAAATTGTAATTTCCCTGCCCTGTAATTAAAATAAATAAATAAATAAATATTTGTAGTTTTTTTATTTTCAATTTAACCCATTGGTTTTGTCCGATATAACATTGTTCATATTCACATATTATTTTCTATACTACATTATTTGTAATATTTGACGGACGTTTATCTTTATTTAAATTGTGGTGATAAAATTTTTTTTATTATAAAATGTAATATTGTTACCCTGATTATTTAAATTGTTTTTAATATTATATAACAACCCTATTATATAGGGAAATGTAGACATGTTTACTGTGGGACACCTAGGTGGTTCCAAATAACCCATGGTTAATGGGTCTAAAACCTTCATTACCAAGATACAGGGTGTTTTATCGGTTTTACCTAATTTTTTCTTAAGCCACAGCATACAAACCACTGTGAATAAAAATTTGATATTCAGTAGCTATGTTTTACTTAATTACCGAATCGAATAACATATTAATTAAAATGGAAATACAGGTCCGCCTTTATAAAAAAATATCAATTTCTTATATATCAAAAACAAATTTTTGAAATTCAGTTCAGATATTTGAAACCAGCGAAAAAAATATAAAATAAATAGCATACTTTCTATATTTCCGCATTTAATTCTACAGTTTTAATTTTTTAACACTAATTCAATTTTATAGAAAATTCTACGAGGTACATTTTAAAAAACTATTTTCACTGTTAAATTAACAAGATTACTCAACTTTGAGTAATTAAAACGTTGAAACTTTCTTATCATGTTACTTTAGTGCTATAAATGTAGTTTTCAAAAAGATATTACAGGTCTGAACTTAAAGCAAATATTATTTTTCCTAATCATTATTTCAAACACTCTGCAAAACGTAATTTTAAAAATAGCATTAAATATTTACTTAATAAATGGGGAAGAATCATACAATATGAATAAATAAATTTATTGTGTTTATGTTTCGACTAAAGCCATGCTATTATTTATTTATTTATTTTTTAATATCTTATTTATATTAACGTTCTGATACAGTTTAGCACACTGCTATTCCACCATTTAACTAGAACAGACACACAGACACACAGACACACACACACCCACACGCACGCACGCACGCACGCACGCACGCACGCACGCACGCACGCACGCACGCACGCACGCACGCACGCACGCACGCACGCACGCACGCACGCACGCACGCACGCACGCACGCACGCACGCACGCACGCACGCACGCACACAAACACAAACACCAACCATACCCTCCCATATTTGCTACAAGTCGCAGCTGATACTCGAACTCAGGAGAGGTAGACAGTGCCTAACCGTTTTCTGCCACACAACAACACTCTAGCCAATTGTGCTAGAATTTCAGTATTTTAAAAACGCCACCATACATCCATGCCCTAGCTGGGATTCGAACCCAAGACCCTTTGGTCTCAAGCCTAACGCATAAGCACTGAATCACTGAGCCGTTTCCATTTCCATTGCCTACACTTGATTTCTCTAATTCACTGGTACATGGGTTAATGTGAAAAGGAAAGAGAATTAAGTTGTTTTTCATATTGGATGTTTTTTTTCCCATTAATTAAGCGGATATTTAATATTATTTTTAAAATTACATTATGCAGGGTGTATGAAATGAAAATAGTATTTTGGTTTAAGACCGGTTAAAGCATTTTTTAATACTTTTATGACACTAAAGCAACACGTTTTAACGTTTTAATTACTCAAAGGTGAGTAATCTTGTTAATTTGATAATAAAAATAGTTTTTTAAATTTTGCCTCATGGAATTTCCTATAAAATTGAATTTGTGTTAAAAAATAAAACATGTAGGATTAAATGCAGAGATGTAGAAACTATACTATTTAATTTATTTTTCCGTTGTTTTCAAATATCTAAACAGATTTTGAACATTTTGTTATACAGAGTGTTGTTTTTGGAATATACGGAATTGATACTTTTTATGAAGCCGGACTTGTATTTCCACTGTGGTTAATACGTTAATCCATTCGATAAAGTAAGCAAAATATACCTACTGAATATAAAATTTATACACATAGTTCGTAACCTGTGGAAAAAAATAGACAAAATCGATAAAACACTCTGTATTTTGGTAATGAAGGTTGCTAGATCCATTAACCATAGGTTACTTAGAACCACCTAGGTGTCCCACATTCACAGTTAACGTTTGTACATTTCCCCATGAAACACTCTGTATGTACGTGACCAGTGGTTTCTTAGGGCTCGAAAGGACATTGGCGGAGACGTAGGGTAAGGGTGGTTTATGCCGGAGGAATTCTGATTGTATGGTTTGTGCTGGTTCATACCCTATGGACGCAGCCCCACGTCCTGAATTAGACTTGGAAAGGAATATTAATGAGTAACAACAGATTAGTTATATGATTTATTAAGAAAAAAATAAAGTTCTATTTATACTATCTAATATTATAACAAATAATAAAAATGTACCTAATGAACTTCGTGTCCTAGTAAAAACTGCTAGCAAAGGTTGCAACGCTAAAAAACATACTTCCTGCTAAATATTCATTTTGGTGTACTTATTTACATTTGCCATTTACAGATCCATATTCAAAGAGAATTAAATAAGATAAAGAACTGACCAACCAAATTCAATAATTATGCACAACTCGCGGCAATCACAACAATAATAAACATATTTCGATTCGTTCGAAGATTAAACAATCCTACCTGTACAATAATTAATAAATAACAAACACACAAAATATATGAAAATTACATAATAAATACCAGAAATATTCACGGAATGTTATGAAATACTCCCGAAATTACTGGAAACTTTGCCTATGAAACGTTTTGAAATTTCCGTTTCGTTTCATTTCATTGCCATGAAATGTTATTAAATCCTCACAAAATTCATGAAATTTTCAGAAATTTTGGAACATTATGAATTTTTCGGAAACTTTGAAAATTTTGGAAATGGTCCAATGTTTCCTAAAGGAAATTTTGCCTACGAAACGTTTCAAAATTTCCGTTTCGTTTCGTTTCATTTCCATGAAACGTTTTCTTACTTACAACACTATTTATTATTGCTTACAAGTATCTCATATTATATATTTGACATATTACTATCCCTGAATATGTAACCATGATTATAAAATAAAGTGAATCTCTTTGCGTCTATCTGTTTTAGTTCGTTGTAGCCTGTGATCTGTTGGTAATCGGATTTCCGCTGAATCATGGAAACGACTTAATGAAATTTATTACCTACAGATATTTCCATTGCTCGAACGATGAAAATACACTGTTTTTTAATAAGGAGTATTTATTAAACAAGATATTTTTATTTAAAATAGCTTTGTGTGCGACTAGATAATAATGATAATTACCTGTATCTTTATTGGCTGAGAGTCTGACAAGCAGGTATGTAGATATTTATTCCAACTGGTGAAAAGCTACAGAATGCAATAAAAAATACATGAATAAACACAACATGCACATAATTAAAATCCAAAAAATAATGTGTAATATTAAAATGTAAATATACTAAAAAAATAATAATATCGTAATGTTTTTTTGCCACATAGAATACAGGATATTTCCAAAAACATGTGCCATCGCTTAAGCGGATATTCGTCACCCAAAAATAAGGCAAATAGTTCCTATCAATAGGTCCACTTTTGTTTCGTTTCTGAGATACACGTTGTTAAAGTTTTCTCATTTTTTTCAGTTTTTTTTCCAAAATATCTTCAAAACGACTTTAGCAACTTGAATGATATATAGATGTAAAAGTACCTAAAATACTATATATTTTAGTGTTAAAATTGTGCACATAGCTTGATCAAGGACGTGCATACGGGCTTGATATTTAATAATTTTGTTAATACAATATGTACGTCACTGAATTTTTACTTTTTGAGTACACAGTTATATAGATAGGTTAATACCTAAAAAAAGTAACTTCGATATTTTTTTCGATTTCGGCTTTGTTTAGGACATATAAAACTGAAAAATAAGAAAATGTTAACACCGATGCAAGAGTGGACCCATGTTGATAGGAACTACTTTTCTTATTTTTGGGTGAGGCGCATGTTTTTTTAAACACCCTGTATAAAAAATGATCGAAAACCACTACTTTATTTTGAATCTTTGATGCTGTAATTTTTTATAGGCTATCACCACTCCTTTCTCCCTGTCGCCTTGTTGAGAGCGGGTGATGTCGCGAAAAGTGTTTTACCGGTTCTGGTATACAAATTTATTTAAAGGGCGCCAGCGTACCGAAACACAAAGAAAAAATTTTTTAAATGACTCTCAGGGGATGGACTGCTGGTAGAGCGTTATAATTTTGTTCACGCACTTCTTTCTCAATGAGGATAATAGTTTTTGTTTTATATTAAGATGTCCTTAAGAATTGGGGAAAAGCTACCAACGCAGTGGCCCTCTCTACCTAACACTAATAAATAATTGGGTTTAATTAAAATTATATTTGGTTCATGTCACTAATGTTTATACACTGATTGTCGTTAATAAATGTCTTTGGGTAATGTTTGCTAAAAAGAATTAAATAGAAGGGCCTAGCTATCTACGAAGTACGTAATAAACTTTACGACTCGTGATTACCTGTTTACCGCAATAATTAGAACGACGGTTTCTCACTTCATGATTTCTATACCTAAGCTATCTACCTACCCTGGCCACTGTGGTTTTTTTAGGCACCTGTTGGTTGTTAGAACGTATTCTGAGAGTGAGATGAAATAATCACGGGGACTCGCTTTTAATAAGATGAACTGTTCAATTCGTAACCCAATCTGCAAGTGAGTGAACGAAAAGGCCAGATAAGCTTAACAACAATGCTGAACATATTTCTGGGATTAAAACAATTAAATTGAACGCGGTGAATTTACATAAAGTAAAAACAAAAACCACAAACAAAAAAAATTGTTGAAGCGCGTACGTTCGAAAAACCTGGGTGCAAACTAACAAATGCGAAAAAGCCGCTACAAAGTTTTGATCTATCTTACCAATAAAATACAATATGCATCAGGGTCCAAAATAATAGAACCAAACAAAAATAAAAAACACAGCACTAACACACAATAAAAAGGCAACAAAGGCACACGGGTAGCCGGGTTCACTTGACACGTGGCTTAAAATTTTGCAAAATGAAAAATGAATCAGATAAAAATGTTGTGGCGGTGAACGCGAATTTGATTCTGTAATCTTGAATGTGGTGATTTGATTCTGTAATATGGAATGTGATGGTAGCGTGGGTGACGTTAGCCTCCTTGTTTGTGAGCTTGGCTTTATATCTGTCTGGGTCTCGTAACTTTCGCGACACTCGGACTTGACTTGACTGTTCGATGCCTTTTTTTAACGCCCTATAATCTGGTGTTTGTTTTCGGATGAATATTCTAGAAACTTTTTCAAGATTGCCAGATGTTTGCTATACTGAATGTTTGGCGCGTATTGAGTATATTTTATTTATGAGTTGAATATTGTATTCTTCGGTAAGTTAGTATGCGGTTCTATGACAGTGTCAATATTATTGAAAGTAGACAAAAGAAAATGACGAGTTATACTTTCAATTTTCTGGACAGAAATGTGCAGTGTGAAATTAACGTGACTCAACTAAAACTCATGCAGGACTAAATAAATACCGATCTTTCACCCAAAAACAACGGTAATCGACTATTAAGTATGGAGGAAACCAAATATATGAAAGGCAGCGCCCATTTTTTTCATATTAAGCAATTTTTTATATTCTTTGTATAAACGAGTTCCATAATCACGCCATGGCAGATTTCTGGAGAAATGCGTTACAAGAAATTTCAAAATATCTGATGTGGCCAGCACATAAGTTTCTTAAACCAAACCAAACCAAAGAATTCTGGGCTAAAGCAGTGGCGACTGCTGTATATTTGTTAAATAGATCCCCTACAAAATGTCTGAGCAATAAAACTCCAGACGAAGCGTGGACTGATGGAAAAGTGGTTATCAGTAACCTACGCGTATTTGGCTGCAAAGCATATTTACATATTCTAAAGAAAAAACGTAAAAAGTTGGACAGTAAATCAGAAGAGTGCATCTTTATGGGCTACAGTTTGCAGACCAAAGGGTATCGTTTGTATCAACCATCAACAAAACAAACGCATATCAGTAGAGATGTTGTATTTGATGAAACTAGCATCAAGGAGAAAAATAATGGTATCTGTTTAGATTATACTTTTAATGAAGACATCTGGATGAAGTGGGAGATGATGAGTTTGATAATAGTATGCATTCTGGTTTAAAGGATACATCGTCGTCTCATGAAGATGAGGTGAATGCACGGGCTTCGTTTGAAGATGAAGTTTCAAATCATTTGAATGTCGAAGATGATATTTATGTCCCGCAAAATGTTCGCCGATCTGAAAGAATGCCAAAACCAAAGAAAATGGATGAACATAATTTATATAATGCCATACATTGTAATTCTGATGATCCATTGTCAC